TGTGTCATGAATAACCCCGTGTGTCATGAATAACCCCGTGTGTCATGAATAACCGTGTGTGTGTGTGATGGTGTTCATGAATAACATGAAGTGTGTCATGATAACGCCGTCACGAACGAGTATGGAGAGTGAGAAGTCAGAAACTCACGGTGATGATGAGTGCAAAAGAGAAAGAAGATGACAAGATGATGAAAGTATAAAGACGATTGGATTGCGAAGCTTGGGAATGGAGAGTCGGTGATAACCTTCCTTTCTTTATCATCAAATAAATTATCATCATAAAAAGAAGTTTAGGGAGACTCTACTCCGAACCAATTAGGTTTTCCCATTAATGTGATAATGTGTATTTGTCAAATTTACATTAGACAATTTTTTTTTCACGACCAGCCATTCACCACAGGAAGTTTTCTGTATTTTGCAATAAGTTTTGAGGTGTGGGGAAAAAAAAACGCCAAAATTGACTATATCTACCACGTTCTAACATCGGGTGGCTTGGTGTGGTAAAATTTTCGAAGTATGCACTCTTATTGAAGCTGCTATAAGGGTTGATTTCGCTTATCGTTTTCACAGCACGAAAGCGGTTTTACTCTGTCGGAATATGACACACACGCACATTATGACGAACTCCACATCAGCAGTTTCCGGTCAGGGAGGAGGAGGCTGGCGTGACAGATTTCAAATCATTTTTGGATTTTTCCTGGTTGTCATTTCACTCGTTCTGATTTTATTTTTCGTGTTGTTATTTTTTGTTTTTTGTGACTTTCTGAACAACTTTGGATTTTGGGACGTCACTCAGTATATACTTTACATGCGGATGCGTTATCAACATATAATGCAAATAAATGAATAATAATAACACACACAACAAACAACACACACACACACACACACACACACACACACACACACACACACACACACACACACACACACACACACACACACACACACACACACACACACACACACACACACAACATATATATATATATATATATATATATATATATATATATATATATATATATGTACATATATATACCATTATCATGAAAGAAAACACACTGACTATTTAGAAAACTGTAAAAAAAAAAAAAAAATGATATTGAACCTTTTAGTAGAAAGCTCACTTGCCTTTCGACACCATGGTCAGAGATCCGTGTCCGAAGGGTAAATGGCGGGCGGGTTTCTGGAGGACCTTATGAATTCACAAGTGTGTCACGTGAACACATGTCCTTTTTCCAAACTGTAATTAATACCAGTGTGTCCACTCTGTCGACATACGCGCGCATACGGAAAATACACAAATAATGATGATAATGGAAATAGGAATTATTATAATGATAAAAATAATAACGATGAGGATAATGATTATAATTATTATGATTAAGTAAGTAAAACAAGATATAAGTTCTATGGTTTGTCTCGCTCTAATGAAATTCGTAAAGGTGTAGTGTTATTGAACCTTTGTAATTCATTAGTGTGTTAATTTGCATATTCTGTGCGAGCACACACACGTATATCTATATATATGTGTGTGTGTATGTGTGTATACAAACACACACACACACACACACACACACACACACACACACACACACACACACACACACACACACACACACACACACATATATATATATATATATATATATATATATATATATATATATATATACATTCACCTACACACATATATGTAAACGGACACACACATACATACACACAAACACAAACACACACGCACAGATCGTTATCATTTTACCAATTTTGTTCTCAATAAAACAATAAGAATGAATTTCATTTTTATCCTTATTTTCACTGAAAGCGTTGTTATTGTTATCATTTGTATCATCATCATTATCATCCATGTTGTTCTACTTTTCATATAATAATCAACACTCATACATATTAGGTAAGTGGAGTAACTGCATGTCCACCTAAAAAAAAAAAAAAAAAAAAAAAAAAAAAAAAAAAAAAAAAAAAAAAAAAAAAAAATTGAAAGCATTACATAGTTTTGATAAATTTATCTCATCATTTGTAATTCTCGAACATTCATATTGACTTGGTAAGTAATCCCACCTGTTAATTGTGGAAGCTTCTAGAACCAAAGCACGAAGCCAATATTCCAATAACATTTTTATTGATATATGCGAACTTTTTTCTCCGAAACTTTGATTGTAAGTTGAATGTCTTTATCTTTTTGTTATCATTATTAGCATTTAAGCAGTGGTCGTAATATCAACAATGTTGTTGTTCTTGTTAGTATCCTTATTATGGTCATTTATCATATTTTTACTAGTTTCATTATTATTATCTCCATTTATAGTCATCCCTATAAGCTTATACGTTTTCTATGAAGACCATGAAACGGTTTCATTTTCTTTGAGTACCTTAATTACGGATATATTAAATATATTTTCGAAGTTTGGGTCATCTGAATTACGAACATGAATAAGTAATTGGGGAAACAGCAGTTTTAATATATTTGTAGAAGTAAAATAACTACTGAGCTAAAAAGGAGATTAATATCCCAGTTGTTATTATTATATATCCCGTTTTAACACAATTTGTAATTTGAAGCCATTAATATACATGATAAAAGTATACAAGTATTTTGATAGTTGAGTACAGCCGTGACTAAAGTTGAAGTAACTATATCTGTCGAGACTCCCAACTAGCGAGCAATAGCATATAATAATTCTCTTTGGAATATTTTAACAAGTGTTATATCCACTTGTGTGTTTCACAAGTGTTATCTGACGCGGTGCAACAAAGGGGAGAGACGGCCAGATGCAGGGACGCCGAGAGAAATCTGATGCACCTTTTTAAGACTAAATTGGGGCCCACACCTCTGCTGCAGGTAGAGGTATCTAAATGAATGGTGTGTTTATATAGATAAAAGAAGTGTGAGGCAAAGAAAAAAATGATTAGGAGCAAATGCTATCTAGAGATTAAAAAAAAAAAAAAAAAATGAAACTAATGCATTGAACTTTAATTCTTGTATAGTTCCAACAGCCTAGAAATACTACATTCAAGAACTGTTGATCAGAAATCGTTCCATCCACTCTGGTTCAATCATATGAACAAGAAAACAAGAGATGCAAGAAAAACAATAACTACGTACAATATTGTCAGTCATTCGAGATGCATTTGACTGCATTTTGACCGGAAGTTATTTCATCCCTAATAGAGATAAATCATTTATTATACTTATGGGTAGCCACGACGCCATACCAATTATGAAGGGATCGATCGCCTAATATGGTTACACAGTGATAATAATGATAACGATGATAATAATACTAATACTGATAAATGGTAATACTAATGCTAATAACAATAACAGTGAAAACGAAAATGAAAATTGATATGAACATGAATAATATGGAAATGAAAATGAGAATAAAACTGAAAAATAATGATAATGATAAATAATAAAAACAGTAATCATAATTATAACAATAACAACAGTAATCATAATTATAATAATAATAACAGTTACACTAATATCAATAACAACATCATTAATAACAATTTAGATTATTAGAACACACCCCTGCCCCCCCCCTCCCTTCCCCTCAGGATCAAATGACACCCCGGGACAAATTAAAAAAGAAAAGGAAAGGAGATACATATACAAAAAAAAAAAAAAAAAAAAAAAAAAATATATAGTGTTGAAGAAGAAGGTGATAATGAAAATAGAGGAAAATGACCAAAATGAAATCACGGAAGAAGGGTTTTCTACTAGAAGAGACCATTGCAGTAGAAAGAGCTCTTAGAGAACATCCAAAGGAGGTTTTGAGACCAAGACCGATTCGGGTTAAACTACAAAATGAAAAACAATAACGTCAACAAAAAAAGAGGGAATGATGTGAAACTCGAGGGAACTGAGAAACTAACAGGCAAATAGATAGGCCTAGTCCTCAGCTTAAGGAAAACAAAAACAGAAGAGTTTGGCAAAACTACTTGAGGAAAATAGGAAAATTAATGGGATTGGAAAGGACGGGTACAACGCCAACGACAGACAAGGACAATCAGTTACGTAACATGCTTGTTCGCACAAAAGTTAGGAAATTCACAATGGCCGGAAAAGGCTCAACTGCCCAGTAAATAGGGGGGGGGGCGACAGTGTGCTCGGCAAAGAAAAAACATTGCCATCAATGAATAATTTACACACAGAGAAATGAAATTTGAACATTTTTCATACTATTTAATATACAAGACATTCCTTAAAACAAATCAAACAAAAATGACTACACTAGAGGATATAGAAAATGTCAACAATTATTCTTAAATCAAGTCAATTAAAGTATAATAGAAAGAGACAGGGCCGGTATTTATCAAAATACTATTTTACTGGCCACTACACTCAACTCCCACCCTACATCACTCCGCTCAGCGAAGTACTT